ATTTATAAAAATCCTTCATGGTGATGAATAAGCATCATATAAATTATTTAATCAAAATGGTAACTTAATTTCAACATATTAAAAATTTATTGTATAAGATAATACTTTCATATTCTGGGATTCTTTGTAAGTGTAGCATAAGAAAGGCAGTAGCAAAAATAATGATGCCATTCAGATTCTGATAGAGTAATTTAAAAAAATTGTTTACAGCTTTTTAAAAAATATGCTGAGGGGGATTATAACTATATTTTGAATTAAATATATTTTAATAAATTGCACAGATTATTATTTTTATCAAAGTTAACCATTATTAGATTCACTAATAATGATGCGCTATACGTTATAACTAATTAATATTATTATTAAATTATGAACTGGTAGTATTTTGTGTTCAGTGAATACAATCATTTAAGTTAACAGCATTAGGTACCTGACATTTTTTATTTACATGTATCTTAAGTATAAACTATACTTTATATACATGGATGATATTATATTATAGCAACCAAAACTTTAAAAAGAGTAACAAAGTACAATTTTCCAAAAAAAATTATAAAAAATGTGAAGGTTGTAAAAGGTAAAAAAAAATAATTCTGAATAGACAATTAAAATGTTTGTATAAACATATTCTTTTAAAGAATATGTTTGTATAAACATATTCTTTTAAAGAATAAAAATGAATATGAAAATGTTGAAAAATAAAAATACAGGGTTAAGACTTGCATGTGCTTACAAAATGTTACTTAAAAGTTGTGTGAACAAAAAATGAATGTTGATATTGAACATCGAATAACAAAACAAAATATACAAAAAATATGCTGATTGGCATCATCCACAGAAAACTTGTATAATAAACTGTTAAGCATCAAAAGTGCAAAATACCCAACAAGTTAAAATAATATTTGAATTTTTAACAGTAGTTTCTTTTAAAGTTTTGTAACAGCTTAATGCACATAAATGAAATGGGATACTTTAAATAGTGTTAATGTATAATGTCTTAACACGTTGAACGCCAACGTCGATTCGACGTGCGCGAGCCCGTCGCCGCCGTCGATCGACATGCGGGTGCCTGTAGCCGCGCGTATAATTGGTATAATTTGCGCGTGTCAACTATTCTGCGTAATAAGCGACACGCTAATGAATAGCCGACTAAAATTTCAAATATGTACGGCTATAGCCAGCTTCACAAAGTCACAATAACGGACAGGTTACAGAGTGTCAACGACGTGTTGACACCGGCTATGCGCGCCCGCCTAGTTGTGTCAACGACGCATTGACGTTGGCGTTTAACGTGTTAATGCAATAAAGAAAACATAAGGTACTGATAGAACTTTCCAAAGTCTATCCATTCAAAATAATAGTATATACTTACTTTATAAATATAATATTATGCATATCAATACTAATGGAAAATAATCACTCAGCATACTCCAAAACTTACAATTAATCAATGCATTATGAAACTATTTTGTTAATGTATTACCACTTATTGAAAGTACTAAAGTACTGATTAATTGTTTTCCCCAAATATAAAAATTGCAAAATACAGAAACATAAAAATTGTTATTTTTCAATTTAAAAATTAACTAACCTGACAACATAGCTGTTATCGAAAGAATTTCATTAGAGCAACTAAGTGAACATGATGCAATCAACATCTTTGCCAATTGTGGATCTAGAGGAAACTCAGCCATAATATTGCCCAAATCTGTAAGATTACCATCATCGTCCAAAGCAGATAAATAGTTAAGTAACTCCAAAGCTCTCATTAAAGTTTCTGGTGCTATAAATTTCAAATTTAATATGAGTCATAAGATTCAATCAATTATTATATAAAATAAGAGACATTTACCTGGAGGATCCATAAAATCAAAATGTACTAAATCATCAATACCCAGTTTCTTTAGTTGTAACACTACTGAACCTAAATTTGAACGCAATATTTCAGGATATGTATTTTCTTGCATTTCATTTTTGTATGCTTTCTCAGTATATAACCTATGATATAGGTAAAATAATAGTTATGGTATTTAACAATTCATTTTAAAAAAATTAGATAAAGTGCAAGTTACCAACCATTTACAGTTTTAAAACTAATTTTTAATTGATGTTATATTAAAGTAAACAAAAAAAATTCTCAGTCTTACTATCCTGTGAAAATATTGTTAAGTTTTTCATTGTTAAACACACCATGTGTCAATTTTATATGCAATTTGTTCAATTTTGAGGTGGTGGTAATTTACTTTTTATCAGTAGTAACTATTATTTAATAATTAACATATATTTACCTGAAACACTTTCCTGCTCTTGTACGACCCGCACGACCAGCTCTTTGTTGAGCAGAAGCCTTACTAATAGGAGACACAAGCAATGATTCTACTCGAATACGAGGATTATATACCTATTTAAAAATTAATTTTAGAACAACTTTATTATTACACATTTTACTTCTTAAACAATACTTTTTGTTTAGCAAATCCAGGATCTATGACAAATACAACTCCATCAATGGTTAAAGATGTTTCAGCAATGTTTGTGGAAACTACTACTTTACGTCCTATAGCTCCATTAGCCTTATTCGGTGGAGCTGCCTCAAAAATTCTTTGTTGTAAATTTGGTGGTAGAGTAGAATATAGTGGAATGCATTTTAATTCACCAACATCTGGACCTAAATTGTCAATTTCTTTTTTTATTCTTTTGCAGGCTTCTTCAATTTCCTAAGACAAAGTTATGCATGAATTAATATAAATATTATATCTTTAAATTGATAAAAATTAAGCATTACTTCTTGTCCTGTAAGGAACAGTAAAATATCTCCAGCAACTTCTTCACACATATGGATTTGAATAACTGTACGAATTGCTGCTTCTAAATAATCTCGTTCTGGTTCCGGAGTATAAAATATTTCTACAGGGAATGTACGACCAGGAACATTCATAAGTGGGGCGTTATCAAAATATTGCTAAAATAAAATAAGTTTGAATAAATTAAACAAACAAATATGTAAATAATAAAAATACAGTAGGTAAACAATTAATTTACTTGAAATTTTCCAGCATCTAAAGTAGCGGACATAATAACTAATTTAAGATCCTTCCTCTGTTTAATAACTTCTTTAAGGACACCCATTAAAATATCTGTAGCTAAAGTTCTCTCGTGAGCTTCATCTAGAAGAATAACTTGATATGTTTCTAACATAGGATCAGACATGCCTTCACGGAGCAACATACCGTCTGTCATATATCTATGAAAAATATTTACAAGTTTTTATTTAAAATTAATTATTCAATAAGTTGATTAAATTTCATTACTTTAAAAGTGTTCTAGAGGAAGAACAATCTTCAAAACGTATACTGTAACCAACTTCAGAACCAAGGCAAACATCCATTTCTTCAGAAACTCGCTGTGCTACAGACATAGCTGCTACTCTTCGAGGTTGAGTACATGCAACACCTTTGCGACCACAAACCGAAGAATATTCTACACACCTAACATATTGAATATTAATTAGATTAATAAGAAATAGATATGCTTAGATAAAAATACAAAATTAATGATCCACTCAATTTATTTACCATTGTGGTATTTGAGTAGTTTTTCCTGAACCAGTTTCACCAACTAGCACAATACATTGATTATTCTTTAAAAGGCTCATAAACTCATCTTTGTATTCAAATACAGGCAATTGTATTCGTTTCTTATGTAGTTCAAAATACCTAATGTAGTTCAAAGTAATATTAAGTGTCAATATAGGTACAACAAGACAATATTCTAACTAAAAATTTCCTATCTAACTTACTTGGGAGTAAATGGTAGATTAGTGTAAGGATTTGTCTGTAATTGAGTTGAAGAACTGGGTTTCATATACACTTGTCCTCCTCCTTCAGCTCTGAAAAAATAAAAATCATGATTAATAAACTATTTAACTAGATTATGGATATCTTTCATACATTTTTGTCTGTCACATGGTAAATGGTTTAATTTAATATTCTTTTTATTCAATATCAATAATACCTAATATAATAAAAATATCAACAGGTTATTTGGAGATTGATAGTTAATATAAATATAGTACGTACCTATCAAAGAAATAAATGGTGCATACAATGTATAGAAGATAAATTTAATATGGAGATTGTATCATAATATTTTAACAATTGAAATTGTTTGGTCAAGTTTTTGTTTTTAAAGTAGCATTGCTTTGGATTAGAATACAATTCCGCATAAAACTGGTGATAAACATAAGTACTAAATATCAATGAAAAAACATATATATTTCGAAAACTTAAAGGTCACACAATACTATTGTCAACTACCTTTCCAACGAGTGAAAAACACTACGGCCAGTGTAATGTCAATACCAGGGTCGGTTAGGTAAGATGAATCAGAGCTAGGCACAGAGCGTTTGAAAAATTGTCATCACTACAGGAATGTACCGCGAAGAAGTTACTTATATAATGAACAATATATTTTACACATGCTTACTTTTTGTTTTTAGTGATGTAAGGATCAATTATATCAAGACGCCGCTTAGACATGATGATGGCGTTCGTGTAGTATAATCTTCGTGCACGTGATACTGAAACAAACGGAATTAATAAGACGGCAAACTCATGCACGCCTACTTCTGATAGAATGTATGGAAATCGAATCGTCAGTGTCCAAACAGTTCATTTATGTACGTGAAGACGTTGAGTGTAAACGGAAAAACGACGACAATCAAAACTGACACACACAAAACAAGTAACAACTAACATGTGAGCGCGAGGAAATTGGGTGCGAGATCGCAGAAATCGGTAAAATATTCACCGCTAAGCACATCGGCCATCGGGACAACTACATTGAAGAGTTAAGAGATAATGGGACTTGATGGGCGGTGAAGTGACGGTGATTGGCAACAGTGTGAAATGTAAACAACTCTAGGACGTCGCAGGAAGGAACAGGGATTGGTCACACCGTATTAGAAACATTTCCGGGCCAAGGGCCGTTCTCCGACAAATGATAACAACCAATTTTTTCTCCGACAGTCAGAGTGACCAACTATGAAAAAAAAAATGTCAAATCGTTATTTTACTATAGATACTATAGATATCTGATCCTAATCTACATAATTTGAAGTTGAAAGTTTTACTAGTTTTAGTACACGTTTTAGTTTTAAGTGTTTTAACTGTTTGAAGCACGACAAGATATATATTTTGTCATGGTTTGAAGCTTCTGAAGTTGTTTTTTCTTTTCTAAGGTGAGGCATTAAAACCATATTAAAAAAAATTATAAAACATACAATGTCATAAATCATAATATATAAATATAATAGAACTATAAAACACACATAATCATTGTAAAACCAATACATTCATCGCCTATTATATTTATTGTATTTGTATATAATTATATAATAAATATAATAAAACACACATATATTATAGGTACCTATAAAAAAATAGTCATTGTAAAATCAATACATTCATCACTATTCACTACTAATTGAATTTGTCAATAAATGTAAAAAAATTAAATATATAATTTGTCAATAATTAAATCTCATAAAAAAGTTGTTAAAAGTATAAAAATTGTATAAAAATAATAATAAAATTTGAAATAAAATATTTTCTCAGGTTATCATGGCTGTGGGCCAACTTGTCCATGCAGATACCCATCCATCATATGGCCTGCTCTTTGGAGAAACATTAAGAGATTCCCATCGTCATTGAGAGTATCAATATACTCTCTAACCCTCCGAGTAGCATCTGACCGTTGTACTCTAGATGTATGATTTCTTACCTAAACATTTAAAAACAACAGTATAAATGAGTAATTACAATATAAGAGTACATAAATTTAAAATAAAATAAATTCATTAATCTACTGTTAGATTTCTTCGAACTTGGTCCATCTCAACATAAAATTGATTTTCAATCAACAACAATTTTTCTAGAATAAAAATAAAATAAACTGTAATAGTTATTAGCTGAAAGTTCCAAAATAAAAAGAATAAAATAATTAATTATAAAATTGAGCTTACGCAAAAAATCCCAAATATTTGGATGTTTTCCCATTTGATTGAGTAACATAGCGTGAAATGATTCTAGGTAATTGTTGGTGCGTATATCTGAACTAAAAAGTATATTATACATTTTAAAACTATTAGGTTAGGTATATTACTATTAGGTACCTAGTAAAAAAATTTTTTTTTATATAATTCTCATACCCATAGACGCTTATAGAGTCAGCGCCAATTTGTGTAAGCCAAAATTCCTGAATATAACCATTCAGAAATACTTCCATCTGTTGATAAATATTCGGATATTGATTGGCAAATTCAACAATTACCCAAAATCCATCATGTATTGTAAATGTACAATTGGGATGTACTTGAGCAGGTAAATGTGGTAAAGCTAAGATCTATAACAGACATTTTTGTAAAACAGTATAAGGTATTAATATTTTATTCTTATTAATTTCAGACTAAATTACCATGCGCAATATTGTAGCTGCCTCAGGATTCGATTGGAATAAATGGTAAATACTATTTAGACTTCTTCTACAATACCTTACAATAGCCTAAAAAATATTAATTAAATGATGTACATTATATTAACTATTCCTAATAAGAAATAACTTGATTGATATAAAATACTTAAGTACCTTAATACTTTACATTACTTACTTGACAGTAATGGAACCAACAACCCTGAAATCTGCTTTCAGGAAAGGTTGATTCTACTGCATTTATTAACCCCCTTTCATAATCAGATATGATTGTTAACCGGGCATAATTCAATGGCAAAACCTCACGAACAATCCTCAAGAATGACTCGTATGTAGCTTGAGTCATTCGGGAAGTCAGCCCATAAACCATCGGAAAAGACTTAAATAGAAAATACAGTCAATACTTCAATAGGTATATAGGTACTTGAGAAGCTATATTTATTAATTTACTAATTATACTTACTACATTTTTTAGAACCACTTGAAATGTTAATAAACAGCCTTTGGTTAGCTGTGGTGGACTTTTTGGTACCGTTTTAAATGTGCCGTCAATTCCTGCAAAGGTTACAGTTAGCAGTTCTTCTCTATATTTTTGAATCGCATCTAAATTTGAGAATATGACGCCAACCCGTTCGCCTTCTACCATAAACGGTAAATGTTGTTGAAAAAAACTAAATAAAAATATATTTAAATATTTTATTTTATAATTTTATAATTTTTAATAAATGTGAAATTTTACTTTGAAGACGGATTCTGCATTGTTGTTCCATACGCTGAGTTTTGATGCTGGCTTAAGGTATCAATCAGTTCTTCGACTGTAGATGGATTGTTGGGATGACGGCGCCGACGCATTTTTTTTACACACATTTGTGATTGTAAATAGGTGTAGTTTGTTGCACCTTCTGGATTTCTAAGGCAGTAATGAAATATTCTTACTTAATTAATAGTATAGTTTTTAGTATATTAAGTAGTATAGGTGTATAGTTAGATTAGGTTAGGGTAGTTAAAATAGTTAATTTTGTCGCGGCAGTAATGCGAAAGCAGTTCCCGCGGCGCCGTCGGTTCAAACACGAAAAAAAAAAAAAAAGTTAAAATAGTTATGCATATTTTTTATTATTACTATTATATTACTTTTGTATTGGTCTTAAGTTAGGTTATTGATCTTCTCTTACTTACTCAACTATTTCTCTGTTATAAATTTCTCTAACTGAGGTGGACATATTTCCAGGTTTTGTTCCAGTTATACCAATAGCTCTTCTTAAATGAACCATAGGAACATCAACTAACCTAGGTGCATGGTAGTGCAATCCTAATACTGTTATTGCATTGTCATTTATATTTGTATTCACATACGCAGTGACAGGACAAAATGCTGTTCGATTTTTTTGATTTTCGCAGACTAGGTATCTAAATAAGTTATAAATTAAGATTTTAGTAGCCAGCTAAACAAACCAAATCCTAAGATAATAATAATATTATTTCTACTCACATTTTGTTAATTCGACTTCTACTTTTATAATACCTGTAGTTTAAATTGTCCACAAATATTTGTGACTTAAGTCTAACACCAGGAATTATTGTGTATGTTGTCGCATATTCTTGAACTGTAAATAAAATATGTGTTATAATATATGTATATAATTTAGTACTTACTGTTAACTTCTTCATCTACATCTACATCCACATCCACATCTAAAATAATTTCTTCTGGAAGATTGGGAAGAAGTAAAACATAATTATGGTCATGTAAATGATTCATATTGAATAATAATATTGAAAAAAAACTCAGATATATGTATAACTGAAAGTTTAGAGAGTTTAACCAAACAAAATATAAACCACAATACTAGAGTTGATGTATAATAAGACTGAAAGTGTTTTATAAAACTGTTCTGTAAATTTCCCGCAGTGAAGTATAATAAATAAAAGAAAACTAACATGGTATTTTGTAGATAAGTAAAATGTCATAAATTAAACAAAAATAACTCCATATTATCTTGACATAAATTGATTTTATATATTACATCCTATACATCTTATCTTGTCGTTAACGAGGTAATCCATTCTTCCTGATCAGATTTTATTGACTACATTTGGACTTACACCTATGTTTGTAACATTGTATAGGGTGATTTTTTTTAAATGTTCACGTTGCAATATGATCTACTTATTTAATAAACTTGGACTCATTTGTAATAAGCACCTATGCTTCTCTTAGTAAGTTCTATTTTGTTGTTACTGTCTATTACTGTTTTTACCTTTGTTTAATTATTATTTTATTTTTATTTGTATATAATCGCCGTGTATTGTTAGGCGTCTACCTAGTTATTGTTATATTATTCATATTCATTACTACAAATTGTGTTGTACTATTGGGCTCTTAGCCCGTTCATACATACATATGGTTATATAATCTATTTATATTATTAATACTTTAGTAGAGATCCAGGAGGGAGGCAAAAGGGGCATTCTCCCCCGCCAATCACCTTAGTTTCCCATTGTTTACACTGTGTTTAGCCAATTTTGTACTTTTGCCTCCCCCCAAATTAAACACTGGATTACCACAGGCACCACCTGAAAGTTATTTTAATAATGTAAAATTCTGATAAAATATATACACAATACACAAAAATTCAAATGTCTTACTGTTTAATTCAAAAAAATTTACTTAAAACTCAAATAAAAATAAAACTTGAAATATTTATGTCATACAACTTTTACAATTAAAAAACAAACAAAAAAAGACATTATCATATTAATAAATAATATATTTTATTATAACACCATTCTGCGTTGTGTAGAATTTTTGAAATGATCAATTATATCGTCGGGATTTAAGTTAATATTCATTACTTGTTCTACCGTAATGAGCATCAATGCATTTAGTCTTTCTTGATGCATAGTACTTCTTAACTTAGATTACTATATGTAATATATTAAACAATATCTAATACAAAATTTAAGTTTGTAGAGTCTACAATAATGACAGAAGTAAAAACAATACCTAGAGCATTATAATATTGTTGGATTTAGATGGCCTTAATTTCAAAGATTATCTTTTTAAGCGGTTTTATTCTTAAAAATGGGCTTTTAAGTTTCGACGATTCAGATTACAAATTCGTTTACTTTTTAATACAAAATTTCCCTAACGCCAATTTAATAAAAATTATGTTGGTAATGGAGAATATTTGAGGTTATATCCTGTTATCAAATTTATGTTTGTCGGAGAACAACCCCCATCTCAACATTTCCAGATATTTATAGGTTAAGACATAGAGCACGAATGCACGATTAAAGATACTATTGTTTTTTTTATCAATTACTGGCGATTTACAATTTATTCTGAGTGACCCATCTCATCCCATTGACTACTGCCAAAAATCGAAATGATAAGGCAGCAATAATTACAGCAACTTGAAAATTCAAAATGAGTTAATATTTTGCACAAATATAGACGTCTAGGTTAAAGTAGTATGAACTGAGCATCGATTTTAAATTATAGGTATACCCATAAAATATAGAGACATAAAACTATGGGAATACCAGCTAATGGCTTATTTAAATGGTTCAAATTATTTGTATATTTGAGAATCGTTTAAATTGAACAACATAATAATTATAAATGTGTATCATAATACTAAATACTAATATGGTATTGTATAGCACACTTGAATGATGTAATATATAATTATTTTTTTTTAAATAACTTCATATTTATTTTAAATATGAAAAAGTTTAATGTTTTTGTCATGTACCTAGTTGTAGGTAGGTACCTTGTTTTAAAAATTGTATTTATACAACACAACTGAACGTGTGGAGCAATAACATTTTATTGTTCTATGATAAACAATTAAGGAGGTATTATTTTTAAGTATTTAAAATTCAAATTTTGGCAATATTTATAAGAATCTCAAAAATTATTTTATTGTTAAAAAATTATAAAATGTTCAGTTTTTATAGCTAAAGATTGAAAATGTACAACAAGGATTCTCATAAATAATTCATATTTCATACTGAACTCAATAAATTAAAAATATATATAAATAGGATGATTTTTTATTTACCCGCCTACATTTTAAGTTCAAATTTGGACGAAATTACATATTAAAACCAAGAATAATGGTTTTAATTATTTTGTTGTAATATCATCATATATTATATGTAATTATTTAATATACTTATACTATTATTACTTAGTAATATCATATAATAGACTGAGTCCAAGGGCGCCCGCAGGGGGGGCCAAAGGGGCCATTGCCCCTACTGGAATTTTTTTAAACTATTGTTTATTTAATGCCACGGCGCCACGCATATTAATTATAACATAATTTTATTGACTCAATTGAGATTCATTTATGAAGTTATGTAAAAATTATTGTATTTTTAGATAATCTAAAAAAATAATCTTTAATGTATACATTAGTTTACAATGTTTATAATAATCACTAATCAGTCCTACGAAACTCTTTGTATGAAGACAGATTAAATGTCTTAGCTTTATTGTATATACATAAAGACATTGTTAAAAAGCAAAAACAAAAAATTATTGAAGATGTTATACAATCATTTTGTATGCAACCAAGACGCATACAATTTTTATTTGATGATTAATATAAATATAATTAATTTGTGACACCTACATTAACGTATATTCAAATAATATTAATATTGTATTATAAACCTACAAAATAAAAGGCCTTATGTGATGACATAATGTTGTTTTTTTCTGTTTAATGTAGGTTATGCTATTTTAGAATAAAAAACACTAGAAAAATTTTAAGATTTAAAATAATAATTTTGATCTTGCCCCTTGTGGGATTTTATCCTGCGGGCGCCCTTGAGACTGACACATCGTATTCGCTCAGAATCGCTTTTCGTTTACAATCATTTTTTATCATTGAATTTAAATTTAACACATCCATTACAATTTACAGTGACTCTCTAAACATCTAATGTACAGCAGAGCGTACATACCCACTTTTTAAATTTTTATTTTGTGTCTGTCACTACTCATCACCTTTTGGGGTATCAATAATAATTCGATTTTTACATCAACATATTTTCTGGTAGGAACTAATTGGTACTTTGGAAGTAAAGAGAAAAAACATTTTTTAAATGTCATTGCGTAGGTATACTAAAGTTTAAAATGCGTTTTAGTCCCCAAAAATAATGTTTCCGAATTACAATTTACAACAAAATGACTAATATCGTTGTTTCGTCCAAATTTAAACTTCTAATTTCTACAATAAAGAAAAATATTGTGTATATTTTTTAGGATTTTTGGTTTCATTGTTAACTGTTCTTATGAGGAACATTGTATTCAATTTAAAAATCGTATCTATAAATATTGAACATTTTGTAAATTTTTAACTATACATACTTAAACCTTAGCTATTATATACTATTATAGTACTATATTATACTGTTAATAATTATTGTAGGTACGTTTCACTATGTCCCTATGTATTTATATACTGATAATGCCTATTGGAAACTCACGCGGTGAACAGCTTCCTTTAATTTAATAAAAGTTATTTATCTCGAGTCTTGATTGATACTGATTTGGATGAATTTTATGTGGGGCCTATAATATTCTATTGAAATAAATAAAAATACAAATAGGTATACTCTTATAATACGTAAAAAAGAAACAAAATTTTGTTTTTGTGGACAATTTTAGTTTTATTCAGTGTATCGAAAGTGTTAACAAAAATAAAGTTAAAATGTATTGAATTACATAAATACAGTGGATTCCACTTAATGTGGGCACGTTGGGACCAGCCCTGTTTGCCCACATTAAGCGGTTGTCCATAAAAACCGAAATTAGTTTAAAAAAAAAAATTATAGTAAAAAAAATTTTTATTTGTATTATCATATATGTAATTTAAAAAAAATGTTAAATAATTACTAGGTATACAAATAAAACTAAATATACATATAATATACTAAATAAAATTAATCTTTGGATGTAGAAGGTATACTTTCGATAAACACAATATCATAGATATTCATCACCAAGAGACTAAGAATAGGTCACACCAGAATAACTCATGGTTACCAAATGTCCCGAGATGAGCCCCGAGATGAACCTAGGACGTGCGGGGTCGAACTCACAATAAAACACATCCTCACGAAATGTGTTGCATACCTCGACGCAAGGAACCGCAACATTTATCCGGCGACTTATATGAAAAACTTGGGCCAGTCCTGCCATCACCTAACATATTTGTGTACCTCCAGATGACAAGATTGAACAAACTCATTTAAGCTTCTGAATAATACAACTTTAAAATTGAAACTCTTATTATTTAGTCTAGACATTTGTTATTATTAAACCTTTTATATTATTATGTCACACTTATTTGTAAAAAAAAAAAATGTATCTTACCCAATGGCCTAGTTGCTAAAAAATCTCATAGATACGACGAAACCCGATTAAATCGGTCATTTTTAAATACATATGTGTATATTCTAACGCTATGATAAAATAAAACTGCCCACATAAACCGAATCGGGTGTCCATAATACGTGGTTTTATTTAACATCGTTAATATACATTTGTATTGGGACCAGACATGTTTGCCCACAATAATAAGCGGATGCCCATATTAACCGGTGGCCACATTAAGCGGAATTCACTGTATTATAAATATTATTTTAATTTTTAATGCAAACGCACATAAACAAGAACATTTTTATTACATATAATACCCGAAAATAACCAAAATACTATGTCAAAGGACTTTTGAAAAAAAAATTTAGAACAAAAATCGCTGAACAAAAAATACGGCTCAAAGTGGCCTAACGATTTTTAAGAATGAAAACAGAAAAATAATAAAAAAAAACACCAGACTATAC